TCGCGGAACTGTTGCGAGAGAAATTCACTCGAAGGAAACGTTCAAAGGAAATGGAAATGCGTACACGTATACTATAAGGCATTTTTGGGGGGAAGAAAAAAAGGTTTGCTATTATGTATAGGCGCGCGCTTGTTCTCCACTCGGTTGTTCTTTACCGAAGTGCAAAAAAAAAAAATTTTTTTCTTACGTGCGGCAACGCCCACACACACACACACACACACACACACAGAGCATACACACACATTTTGATACGAATTGAAAATTTTCTAATCGCGTAGAGAAAGAGAAGCAGCGTGTAACGGCGGCGTTCGTAGAATTTCTTCACAGTGGAGGAGAAAACATCCACTCGCTCTTCTGGGAGGATCGGCTTTCTTTTTCTCTTCTGGATTCGTCGATCCGACGTCGGTCGTCGGATCGAGACCGTACGATCAATCAGGCGGACGGCGAGTGTGACGACGTTCTCGTACGATCCGACATTAGTTTCTTTTTCCTGTTTCACTTTTTTTACGAACTTCACGACTCATGCATCTCGATGGTGTTTTCCTTTTAGCGTCGAAGAACGCTATAGCAAAATTAGATGAAATTCGAGCGCGTTGAGTAGATCGGCCACCGTCATTTGTACCAAGAGAATTTCGAAATTTTCGTTCGTCGAGGCACGTTTCGTGTTCCAGTGTTCGTCGACACTTCCCTTGGGCATTGAATGATTTTGTTTCTTTGAAGCTTCGATCGACCATCTCGATGACGACAGAGACAAAGACACTGACGATGACGATCGACAGTGACGGTTGGCCGATTTTAAAGGGGCCAACTCGCAGAGATCAATCGCGTTCTCTCAATGATGCGACGATTAATCCTTGCAAGTCACGTGAGGATCAGAAATAATTCCATCATTCTCGCGTCGTCGTGACATTCTTCACCTCTGCCTCTGGACGTCGAAACGATCGACGCGAGCTTTAAAAAAAAAAAAAAAAAGAAATTCATCTCACGCCTGAAGAGCAAGTAGCAACGAACACTTGGACGGATGTTTCTTGCAATCGAAATTTCCAAATTCCGTTACAATCGTTTCGGTCGCGGTCGAGCGACACGACACGACACAACACGACACGACACGACACGACACGACACGACACG